TCTCTCTCTCTCTCTCTCTCTCTCTCTCTCTCTCTCTCTCTCTCTCAATATTAACTTCTTTACTTTTAATTTCATGGTCATCCATGGTCTCTTTCAAGGCCTCTAAACGCATCACCATACTCTGATCATGGGGGCAGAAGTGAGGCTTATTGACTTCAATGCAATATACATCTTCATATAAGAGTGACTTGCATTATGAACGCTCATCTTCAGCTGCAATACTTCCTCAGGGAGCCAAATTAAGCTGTTCCCCAGTCTGTGACAAAACCAGTAAACCAGTGCAACAAAAATCGACTGATCCCCAAACCTATGAACAATCCTAAGTTGCAAAGTGCAGTTCTATGCATGCTCACTTATGGAAACACCACTGAACTCCGTGGAACTTACTTCCAAGTCACCATGCATAGGATCAGGGTGTTAAATATATTTAGAAGCTAGGGGCCAGAGTATTTCGGAGAGAGGTGTTAAATGCAACAGCTCTTTCTAGATTCTTTCTAGCATTGTGCTAGAATAGACTATGCCTTTTTCATGCTGCCTTCGTTTAACAGAACTCAACACGGTAAACTCCTGAACAGTTTGCTAAAGAATGCCACAGAACCACTAAGCAAAACAAAGTTATCCCCAGAATGGCTGGTTTCCCCTCAACGGGCTGACGACATCAGAAAGCAAGGCAACAGCCTCTTTGTAGTCACAGAAAGACTTGTCAATAGCTCAGTGTCACTGGCACACATATGGATTTTTTAAATTACCATTGGCAAATATTCAGGATATGGAACAGGAGAGGTCAAAGGGACGCCAATATGCAAAACACAGAAATTATAGGGAGCAGAAAAGAAGGAAGAGGTGGGAGTGATGGTTGATTATTTCCTCCCTTTCCACCAGTCTTCATGGTAGGATGCAAAAGCCTTCGATTGTCAAACATAGAAAAAAGAATTGAACCGCTTCTTTTTGGATGGATCTTTGACATTTGTTTGACCATATGGACACTGGAGAAGGAGGGAAAGGAAATAAGTCATTCTTGAGAAGGCTTCAGCATTGCCCATGGTTAAAGAAAGTATCGCTAATGAAGTCCTGTAAATCATTTGGGTCTGCAGGAATTTTTTTTAAGAGGCAGAATTAAGCCACATACCCCTCCTTGCCCCCTCCCCAAACAAATGGTCCTCATTATTTGTGCAGGAGACCTACTTGCTAACTACATGGCCTATCCACTCTGCACAATATCTGAGCAATTTTTTTCTCCATCTACTCTATATACAGTCCAGAGATAACCCAAGTGGAAAGAAGGAAATCTCACAGGCACTGAAAGACTGCACTTCTTTGCAAATCAGAGTAAGATGGAGAGGCATGCAGCTCTGTTTAAAAAGGCTAAGCAGTCAACAGAGAATGTTTGCTCACAGCTGGGCATTAGCGCTAAAGCCCTACAGTGCTCGGTGCAGCCTGGTCTGCACAAGCAGGATTGCAGCTGCAGGTTGATGGCTCAGAGCAGTCTGGAGAGAAATGGAACTGTAGCAAGAGGATGGCAGAAGTCATGCAAAGAGGCTCAGGGGACGGGATAGGTACAGAGGCGGCGTCTTGCTGGAGAAGATACAGACTTCCCTTCCTCCGAACAGTGAGTTGTGGATGCATTGCTTTGCTGTTAGTCAAGTAGTGAAGTCAAGTCGTGTTCCCAAAGACTGGGCTTGAAATATGCTGGGTATGTTTTAATCCTACACTGAATGCAGCCTTGAAAAAAAATAAATGCCATCTATGTTGGATTTTCAAAAAATGATCATCTAATATTTTCCAAAACTTTCTTCAAGACATGGTGCTCTATAATTAGATCACTTGATCACTGTCTCTTTTGCACTATTGGTTGTTTTATGGTTAGAAAAAGGGTTTGGGCATTTTTAATTATCTTTTGCAAGGGTCCAAAGCTTTATGGATTAATAAACGTGCTGCGCTCCTTGTCATTAAAATGACTTCTCATTGAATCATGCAACAGGGTTCCTCTCCTCACTTGTTAAAGTTATGATTATTGTATATGGAAGTACTTAGACAAAACTCAGATCACAAGGAGATTCCCTCCCATTTCTCTTCCACAGGGGATGGAATGTCTCTTGGAGATCTGTTGCTGTATTCCTGTGCAGATTTAATTGACCAATCAACACTGGGTCGATCTACTAAGATTTCAGGAGTGAAATGGGCCACAGGCTGGCTCCAGAGCTGCACTTACTGGAGTGCCTCCTCCCTTCCTTGCAGCCCCTCTCCAAACTTGCTCTGGGGGACCCTGTGGGAACTGCAAGGGGAAGGGGCAACTGCCTCTGGTCCCTGCTTTCCATCAGGGAGCCTCTGCTGGAGTCCCTGAATGGAAGATGTCCTTCTGTTCATGGAATAGCCAATCTGGATCCAACCCTGAATGAATACAAAATAGTGGAATGCGGTGATGATGACCACTGTAAAACATCGATGCGTAGTGAGTAGAACCATTGACTCATGCCTGTTTAACTTCTGTCAACTGTCCAGGAAGCCTTGGCTATTGGGCAGTATAAAAACAAAACACAAATACGGACTAGCCAACTCCCCTAGGCAACCTCCCTTGACATATTCTATCTTTGCCCCTTTCCTTTCAAAGCAACGTTTTGCTCTGGGCATTTGTTATAATGTATTTCATGCTGCAATGGTTGAAGCAGCAGTCAAAAGTGTAAAACGAACCTCTGAGGGGGTAAGACCAGCCCGTGTGCCAGTGTTGTTCCAAAGGTCCTGATTCTGGATCATTTACTCGGAAAAGCAGGGACAAAGTCCTATTTGGTTTTGGTGAAAGTTCCACCTAAGTTACGGGTTCAAGCAGGTTACAGAGTATATGGGGGACATGGAGGAGAGGGAATAAAATGAGTGGTTATGGGGTGCTTCCAGCCAAGCATTACCAGCTAGAAGGCCCTGGGCAGCTAGTCTGTCTTTTTTTTCTTTAGCTGATTTTCTGCAATAAGGGTACAAGATGGAAGAAGGTGGTAAGAGGACTAAGAGTTGAAGACAGTCACCTCTGTACACCCCCACTCTTAAAATTCCATGAATGTCTAATGGGAGGGCAAGAGCCTCCTCTGGAGGCATCCATGATCCATCCTTGATAAAAGCACCCTAAGGTGAAAACTGTGTTGAAGCCAATAGTACCCGCTTTTTAAATAATGGGTTATGGAATTTCTCTGTGTGTGTGTGTGCTTGTGTGTGCACACATGTGTGAGTTTAATGATGAAAAAATGAACTGAACCTATTCAGTAAAAGGTTTCAGGACAGTTGTTCTTACCTTAGCCAGTTACATTTTAAGCAGCTTTAACCAGCTGAAAAGTATAATGCCCCAAGGTTGCAATTTTAGCAAGTACCACTGAATTTACTGGGACTCAACTCAAATAAAACATGTGTAAGATTATATGTATATAAAAAAGGTACGTTTTGTTTCATTGATGGTGGAAAGAGTTATAAGCTATTTCTGAACCAGGTCCATTTGTTTCTAGAAAAAATGCACAGTTTGTCATATTTTCCTAAACATCTTCTAAAGGAATAGATGCAGCCATATTAGATATCAGTTCCTTACAAAAGACTCTAGATGAAATAACTGCATTTTTAGTTAATGTCTTAATCTCCTAAAGGCCTGGCCAACAGAAATCAAAAGACATATTGCAGACCTTCCAGTTTACTGTGATGTTGTTGGTTAATTGATGGGAGTTTTTGGTAAGCTGCCTTGAGGAGGTTTGTATCAGAAAGACAGGATACAACTAAAAACCAGTATGGTGTGGTGGTTAGAGTACCGGATTCAGGATCTGGGAGATCTGAGTTCTAGTCCCCACTTGGCCATAAAGGTTTCTGAGTGATCCACTCCCAGCCTAACCTACCTCACAGGGTTGTTGGGGTAAAAATGGAGGGGAAGTGAACTGTGTGAGCTGCCTTGGGCTTCTCAGAAAAGGAAGAAAGGCTGGCTATAAATACAAAATAACAATAGTAACAATAACACTAATATTTCAATACATAAATGCATAGTATTCATATAACTCACAGGCATTACTTGTGAAAATAAATTCCACTGAAATAACAGTATTTACTGCTGATCAGCAGCCCATTCCAAAATGGGATCTGCACTTTAGCAAGCACACACATATGGTAACGTCACATTACGTACTTGCAAGGAAGGCTGCAATCCCATGCACACTCTTTTGCAAATCACAGTGGGAGCTACTTCTGAGTAAACATGCACTGGAGATCAGACTCAATGAAAATGTAGATTCACAGCCTGCTCCATACATTTCCTTGAAAACAGAGGTGCTGTGCTAAATTTTGAAGCACAGAAGTGTCTCCATAGCCCGGCTCCAAAGGAGAGTCTGATAGTGCAGGCGACTGTCTTGATCTCTCTATGTATATTATACATGCCTTCTGTAAGCAAGTGGTATTCAGTGTCCCATTCGAGAAACCCCCCACCCC